GTCAATCGTCTCGGCGAGATGGTAGAGTATGCGATCTACGTAGCCTTCGACGGAATCTTCGAATTCCCAGTCGGGATCAAAGAAGGGTGATTGCAAGATGTCGATTTTTCCTTAGATTTATTGCAGAATCTGCCATCCATGAACTTGGAAATCTTCTTTGTGGGAATCTTGGAGGAGCCCGCGTTTAGAAAAGGGGGAAGGAAGGGAAGGGCCGACGGTGATGGTTTCTAGGGTAGAGGGAAAAGGGGAAGGGAGGCTAGGGTTTAAGGCTAGGGAAGTGGGCAAGAGATTTTACATAATTTAAAATTTATTTCAGAATTTTACAGAGGAAAGGGGGTGATTTAAATCCCCAAAGTCCAAACTATTCCCAAAATAATCCAAGGGGGGCCGGCGGTTAGGAGGGTTTAATGAGCATTTAATTTATATTAGGGAGTTGATTGGTGAGGGGAAAAAGGAAGATAGGCGGACCAAACATAGGAGAAGGGAAATATATGTCTAGGTCCAATGCATGTGGGCCCAAGGGATTTAATTATAGATTGAAATCAAATCTGAATTTTACTTTCAGATTTGATTTAATTTGGGAAGCTTCCTAATTGGGTTTTAACATTAGGAAAGTATTTAGAATTCAAATATGGATACTTTCCTAAATGGCAAGGGGTTTATTTTAGGAAGTAATTAAGTGATTTGAATTTCGAAATTCAAACCATGTGGACAAGGTGGTCGGCGGCTAGAGGGAAACTAGGGAGGGGTACCAGCGTTTGAAGAGTGGAGGCCGGCGGCTGGACCGGTGGAAGGGTTGTCCGGTGGCTTGGGGGTGGAGGAGGGATCGGTTAAGGGAGGATTGGAGAGGATGGTGGGGGGAAAAAGACTAGCCCGGTGGTGGGGATGGGGCAACCGGCGGCTAGACACCAAGGTGAGGGGATGGTCGGCGGTTTGAAACGAGGGAAAAGTCGAACCACGAGCCCAGAGCACCTCCGCGACTGGTGGGTATTGCTTTGCTCGCACTTGGGACTTCACAACTCAAGAACTCACAAGCTCGAGAGAAATAAATTCTGAAATTTTTTTAAGCAATCATTGAAAATCCAATACAAAGACTAGGACCACTATATATAGGCCTCAACAACGAAGAAAAATAAAAAACACATATGCCCTTCGAGCTACAACTCACTAAACTCCCATGTAGAGGTACAAAGCTCCTGATCGTGGTCGTCGATCTGCGATGTCTCCTGTGATAGACGCGCTGGAATCTTCTATTGATGTCCTCATCATATTAGGGAGCATATTAACCAAAGAGGGACTAAATACGGACAAGATACTCGTGTGGTTAAGCTCAGTTTCAACCCAAAAACTTAAACCAATAAGTGAGGATCAACCACTTAGCATTTATATTCAAATGTACTTCTTAATTATTTAATGTAAGACTAAATTCAATACCCTCATATGTCCTAACAAATAAAATGATGCTCACTCCCTCAAACATGCTAGCAGATGCACCTTTTAAACACGACGACAACATTTAGTTTGAAGCATGAATTCCACATAAAACAACAAGAATACCAAAATGCAGAATGAGCATGCACCTAGACAAAACAAGGGTTGAATGTTCTTTGAACAATTATAAAGTTCTTTCCTATAAGCACATTGAACTCAAATTTTGTTTAGAGGGGAAATATTCGAACTCCAATTTTTTAGAGACTTTTCCAAGCAAAATCATTTGGACAAAAAAAAAAGTAGTAGATAATTAACTAGAAGTTGTGATACTAATGCCAACCACAACGCCTTATTCTGGACTATCAGCTGCATGCTTAAGAAAACACATACAGAAAAATTGATAAAAATTAATATAAAAGACAATAAGATGATTGTAACCTGTAAAAGGACAAACAATTTTGAACACCTTAACAAAATTCAGAATGAAAACAGACGTATAGAACAACTAGAGAAAAAGATGGAAAGGATAAGAAAATTAACCAAAAACACATTCAAAAATGAAAGATACACAAATCTCAAAATGTGAAAATATAAAAAGTACTCATGCCCCACTCCACATTCTGCATACCCACGGACTAAACATTTGAACTCCAAGCCATTGACTTTTTCCTCCAACCTTAAACCAGTACCGAAATGAGTTCTAAATTCCAACAATTTAAAAGCATGGAACATGAAACCTAGTTAAAATTACAAATTTTAAACCATAGCCACTATAACAGACCACAATGTTTCTTGTAAGGAACTGACAAGAGCAAATTAGCCCCAAATCAAACCCCTCCATGCAAATGCTGCCAACAAATCACACTCCCGCCACAGCCCACTCATAGCAAGAATTGTGCGATTATATTTGACACTATTAACGCAAAAAAATTCACTTACCTCATCACCTTTGCTCGTGATTTAAGAAGATTAATTGCTAAAGTGCCCCACCTCTCTCTTGTTTTCCTTCCTCCCAAGCCACTGACGACCGTCCCTCTGTCTTCCACCCTCACAGTCATCTCCTTAGACCAATCAAGTGAAACAATGAGCTCCTCTTCGCCGCTTTTCAATCGCAAGTGTCAATAGTCTTCCACACCTCTTCAACAGAGAATTGCAAATATTAAGCTGTCTTCTTCCTACTCTCTTTCTCTATCTTCCTCTTCTCCATTTGTTGAAATTGTGTTTTTCCTTGTTCTTTTTACTCATAAGTTTAGAGATTTATTGAAACTACAGTAGGCTTTATCAGATCAGCCAACAATAGGCTTCATCATATTAGTCAACTTCAATCATTTCCTTGGTCCTTTTTATAACACTTTTGATGTCAAAAAATTTCTCAATTTTAAAACATCGTTAATGGTTGAGCTATTGCACATCCTCATTTGTGGTTTAATTTATTTTAAGATGAATTCTATGATTAAATTCTAGATTTTAAAGATTTATTTTATTTAACTGGTAATAAGCATAGATCAAGAAAATGTTGGAGTAGCTCCAATGGAAAATAAGATTAGAAAGAGTCGCCTTAGATGGTTTGGTCACATAAAATGGCGGCCTTCAAATGATCCGGTTAGGAAGTAGATGAATTAGATTTGGCCTATTTTAAGAAAGGTAAAGGTAGACCTAAAAAAGACTTGGATAGAAAATATTAGAAATGACATTTCTTTATTAGATTTAAATGAGAATTTGACTCTTAACAAGATACAATGAGAAAAAAGATTCATGTAGCCGACTCCACATAGTGCGATAAAGGCTTGATGTTGTTGTTGTGGTAATAAGCATAGATCGTCTATGAGTAACTTATGTGGATTAAGTTGGAATTGTATTAATTAGCTTTCAATTTTCAATAGTAGTTTATTTATATAACGTTTAATAAAGAGCTTGTTTATATCAATTAAATTGGAGTTTCATAACGTTCACTTTCCGGTACATAACATTTATTTCTTAGAGGATAAATGTACCCTTCTTTGTTAGGGACATTATCCTTGATGATTGTAATACGCTTCTTAAATATTTTGTAGGTTGCTATTCATGTCATTCAGATTCAGTTATTGTCAAAAAGATTACATATATCTTATCTAATACTCATAATGAAATATCATCTCATGTAGATAGTTTTCTCATGTTTGATTATTACATAAATTATTTAAAGGTTTCATATGTTATCAAGAATTGCCCAATAAACATTATCTTAATTAACTGCAATAAATCTAAATTATGTAAATCATATTTTTATTATGAAGCTAGTAATGATCATATTGAGTAAAATACCAGCTAAATACTTATTTATTATAAATAAAACATGTATGTTTGCTTGCAATGAATATATTAAGTCAATAAAACCATTTTGGATTTGGTTGGTCAGACTAAATAGTCCTTAGAGAAACGACTCTTTTGAAAATCATTGAATTTTTATAAGTTGGTGCATACCATTCTGATTTAGTGTATTACAATAAATTTGACTGTAGATATATAAAAATATAATGATAATATAATATATATATATATATATATATATATATAATATATATATATATAGGATATATAATATATATATACTTAGAGAGAGAGAGAGGAATATATTGGATGAGTTTGCGCATGATTATGTTAGCATGAAAATGCGATGCTTACAGTTTATCATGCAAATTATCATGAGCATCACCAAATTGAAAATCATCTTGAAATATATGATACTACTCATTTATGTCAAGCAATATAATTAAAACCTAATGATATGATGACATTCCTTATGATATTATTCTATTGTAAATTATTGCATGTCCCATGTCATGCCAAAAGCAGACCATTCAACATTAGTTATTTCCTTCAATACTTGAGCTTACGTAATAGTTTTTACTCAGACTTTTGTTGAATTTTGGGTAGCTATTATTTATATGATAGTTCTTCCATTTCCTTTTCCATTAGTTGTTGTTGTTTTGTCCACGATAAACCATTATTAAAGAATTTATTGATGCAATAAAATATTAATTATTTTGCTATTCTTATACTTGCATTACTATTTATAATTATACATATTTAATTTTTTTACTCATGAACTCAGAACAAATTCAATTAATCTTGGCTTATGAGTTTTCTCTCATAAGTTCATATTAATCCATTCTTTACATCCCGTGTCCCTGTTGTCGAGACGCAGCGCTTTTTCCAAATCTAGGGTGTAACATTTCATAGCTTAATTATAAGCAAAAATTCGATGAACACTTTGAACCAAGAAACCTATCAGTAAACAATAGCCATTTGCATAAGAATACAGAGAGTATAATGGCCAATTTTTCCCAGCCGGGATTCCATACACAAGGGGCATAACAAATAGCAGTCTTGAAAAGTGAATAGAGCAAAGAAACACAAAATTCGAAAAGCAACTCAGTAGGTATCCAGATTCATGGAAACAATACCAAGATTTTAAAAAACCTAAAAAAATTAAATAAAATAGAAACATCGTACTCACTTCCAATTCACTCCGGAGCAGTACGAGAGCATGAAAAAAATATATATAATTCTTTGAAAGAGAGGCACACCTGCTCAACATCTCTTCCAAAGTCGCCTGCTCCTCGGCGTTCCAATCCACGGTAAGCCCCGGGTCGTGTTTCAGCGCTTGCGACGAAGCCGCCGTAGCCGTCATCTTCGCCGCCGTGCCGTTGCTAGTTCTTAGGCCACTAGAGGCTGTGTCACCACCAGCCCCTCCACCTCCTCCCTGCTGCGACGAAGAGCCTCCCTGGTTCCCATCCTCCTTACCCGACAGATTCACATTAGTGCCCATCTACGATGAAAAACCCACCTCTCGAATCCTCAGAAACAGTAAACCTCTAACGCCAACTCCAAATGGACCAAATCTCTTCCCCCCATGAAAGGCGGAGAAGGTGAACGACAAAGAGGGCAGAAGGCTCGCATCAAATGGGAACAACTGCTGGTTTTCTCGATCTGCGGGAGAGGAAAAGCAGAAAACAGAGCGAGCCAGGCGATGCGAGGTCCAAGAAAGGCATGAAAGAGATGGCAAACAAATAAGTGCGAAGGATTCGTCTTCTTCCTACCGCTTCTCTTCGCGCTCGGCTCAGCCCAGAAACTCGGAAAATGAAACGAGAGCAAGTATGGATAGCCCTTCGCCCATTTTATGCAGGGCATTTTCGTTATATATTTATTTCCTCTCTTTTTTATTTATTTTATTAAACAAAAAAATTCACATATTCTTCCAATAATCAACTAATTAAAGATATTATCTTCATTGTGTTCTAGTTTAGATAAATATATGCATTATCTTTTCTTTAAAAGAAAATTAGCTCATCAAAGAAGCATTTTTAATTAAGTTCTTCGGAGCTAAAGTAACTATAAGAATATATACACTCTCTTATAGGAGAGATTATTACGTGCGGAGTTCGGATCAGAGAACTGTCCGGTTTTTATGAGTGTGCGTAGTAAAAATACATTTATTATTCACCACTGTATTTTTACTGCGCACACTCATAAAAATCGAACACAGCTTCGGCCCAGACTCCACATGTAATAATCTATCCTCTTATAGGACTACTTCGTTAAAATTGTCATACATCCTAAAACTATTTACTCCTTTAAAATGAACTCATCAATAGAACTCTTAATTTTCTTGTATATTCAACTCATCAATGGATAAAGTAACTTTTTTAAAAGCCGATGCAGAAAGCTGCTTTTCAGCACAAAATTTTCTTGAAAGCAGTAAAAAAAAGTGGCAAATAGAAACTGTGGTTACGTTTTAAAAGCAAAACAGTAACAAAGCAATCTCAAACTAAACATAAATCTATAGATAAGGAATTGAAGATATATGTAACACATTTTGATTAACAACTTGTATCACTTCAACCTTGTGCTTTCTAATATTAATATAACAAGATTATCAAAATCTCTCTCTCTCTAGCTTTCTTTTTCTCTTTTCTACTTGAAATATGTTTGTTGATAAGATTACTAAGTCATCTACAAATATATTTAAACTAAATAGTTATTAATATCGCAAACGAAAAGATAATCTTTGTGTAATTTTTCATATATTTATTTTATAGGCTTCTATCATATTTTTATTTGGCTACAGCTTTCTTATTATTTAAAATAAATTATGAAAGTTTTCTTTGTACAACATGGCTTAATAGATGTGACAATTATAAAAGATAATAATAATATCATAATTTTTCTATGAAAAAATATTTATATTACTCAAAACAGTTTTAAAAACTTTAATTTTCTTATGAATTGATAAGTTTGGATATGTAGAAATAGGATATTATTATAAACTTGAATAATATCTTTATATAAATATTTCTATAGATTAATTAATATAGATAATGTAGAAACTTATTTATAGCATTTAAATATATATATAAACTAATTTTATATACTTTATCCTTAAAGGATATGATAGGCTAAGATAGGCTATGTTACATTTTAGTCTACTTAAACGATAATATAATCCTATTTTATCTGAATATATAAGATTGCATAGAACCAACCATTTGTAATAAGATCCTTAAACATTTATTAGACTATAGTTATCCTATTTTAAAGAGGATAAGTTGAACTTATCATCATATAATTTGTGTAGATAGGATAATCAAATAAAATATATAGAATTGTAGATAATAATATGAACTTTATAAACTCTTTTCCTATTATTGATATTTTATAAAACAAAATTCATATGTCTAAGCGCTAGAATATTTGAATTATAAATTTTATGAATTTATAACGAGATCATTATGAATTAGTACGGTTTTTTATGTAGAGGATTCTCAAAATTATAGACTTTAAAAGCTCTACTTGATGTTGGTTGTCAGCCAATGTCGTCACCCATCATTGCCACCACCAAACACCAGTCATCAACTAAAACTTACACCAATCACCACCATGAGATGTTTTCCATCGACCATCGTCACCACCCAAGTAATCGACTATCAATCGACGTTGATGCCTAAAACTTACCAAAGAGTGATGTATAACATCCCTCAAGCACCAATGTCCAACACAATCTTTCTTAGTTATTTGATCTACCATCATATAAGGAGAATCACAAACTTTCATTCCTTAACGTTGTTCGTTGTCACCTAGCATATGACACATACAACAGAGTGACATTTAACTTTCACTATAGGAAAACCTTCGATTACCGTCGGAGTTTTCGGCGGAATAAAATACGACGGTAACAATGGCACGTGAACCGGTGAAAATTCGATGGTGACATAACGATGGTAATTCCAGCATAGAATTCGCCGGCTATTTTTCGGCGTATGACATAATTTATGAGATAAGCAGTTTATTCCAGCGTTTTTTCCACCATTAGTTTTCGGCATACATTCCGACGGACATTTAGCTGTCCTACTTAAATTCGACAAAACTTTTCCGTTGAAATTTGCTACGGCAAAAATACCAGCTATTAGTCGCCGGAAAAGCAGATGGCGAAAGCCCTATTTCTCAATCGAGACTATCTTCCTTATCATTTCCTTCCTTCGCATTTCGGTTTGCTCTGCTCGCCTCAACTGAACGTAGCCACTGCCGAAATCGACCCATCGCCCAATGAACTTCCACCAAGTTTGTTGACGTTCACCGCCTCAATCACCGACGTCCATCGCTCTTTCACCGAAAATCCACCGTAATATTTTATTTTATTTTCATGGATTTTCTTTGTAGACATTGGCAATAGATTGTACCATGGTGTATGTATTTTGTTGATGATGTTATTCTTGGTGATAGGTCTAAAGAGGTTATGTTTTGTAGAGAGGTATTGTAAAGTGCTATTTTTGCTCCAGGATCGTCCAGGACGATCTGGGATCGTCCTGGGACGATCAGTTGAGGATTTGCTCCAGAATGTGTCCAGATTGCTCCAGGTGATTTTCCTGTAGGTATCGGCCGGGCCGATAGAGACATCGTCCAGGCCGATCGGTTCAGTGCATCATTTCGTCCTGAGCATCGCCCTGGGAACCGTCCAGGCTTATGGATTTTGTTCAGATCGTCCCAGGATGATAATGCGATCGGCCGGGCCGATCTGTGTATTATAAAGCTGAAATCAGTCGTTTTGAGGAGAGAGAAAAAATCAAAATTAACGAAAATATCAGCCGATGAGAGAGAAAGTCGAGGGCTTTTTGGGAAAAGTTGATTTTCGGGCGACGCGGCTTCGTTTTTGTCCGAAGAGACTATTCAGGAAATTGTTGTACGCAAGGTAAGACACATTCCGCCTTTCTCAATTTTCAGAACCGTCGTGTTTGGCGGTATTTTCTGTCCGAAATTGATTTTTATTCGTGATTTTCGTCCGTATTTTCCGATTTGTTCAGTTTTTGCCGCGTAACTTTCTGTATGTTATTGACGTGCCGAGTGTGCACATTTTGATTATTTTCTAGAGATTTTTGTCCGGGTAGTTTTGATTCGACGGTGTTTTTCATCGACTGGATTTTTTTGTGTAATTTAAAAATTGCTGAGCAGTAGAATTAAAGTCTTGTAATGTTGTTATCTACATTCTGTGCAAATTTGGTATTCTGTGATTTTTCAGGAAAAATTGTGTAAATTCCGTATACAGCCGTTGTGCTGCCCGATTTTCGTGTGATTTCTGATTTGTCCGGATTTCTTCTGAATTGATATGCTATCTGTATATGCTATAAAAAGGGAGATATAAGGGGCCTGGATCCTAAGAGATTCAGTTAGTGTCTGGGAAATCTGAAATGAGCTCAATCTGAAATTCTGAAATCAGTTCTGTTTCGGATCCGATGAACTCTGTTCTGGTGCTATAAGCACATCTGTTCTGGTGCCGTGAGCACAAAGGGAGGCATAAGGGGCCAGAATCCGAGAGATTCTATCAGTGTCTGGGAAGGGAGGCATAAGGGGCCGGAATCCGTAGAGATTCCGTCAGTGTCAGGGCATTTAGCTATGAATTAACAAATTCCAAAGCCAGATCCTGGTCAGTCAGTTTGTTCGTTCCGGTCACGACCCGGTGCGAGCGGGATCGGGTCGGGTCGTGACAGGTATATTTTAAGTAGAATTCAAATTGGATAGCTAAAGTAGATGAATGCTCTGAGGTTTGAGAGAGAGTTGATGTGTACAAGATGTGGTGAGACTTGAGAGGGAGTTTATGTTTGTAATATGTGGTGAGATGGAAGGTTGGTTTTTTATTATTACTACAGGTTTCTGGTTGATAATACATTGTAAATCTGTCGTAAATGATGATATGACAAATCTTGTACTGATTTTCGACGCATCTTTTGTGCTGGAATTTTTGACGCATTATTTGTCAATTGTATTCATCGATGATTGTCTGGTGCAGTTGATGACAGACTATCCACCGTCACTATCGATGCAATATTATGCCGAAAATACTGGCGGATGTAACGCCAAAATCCGTTCGATGAAGATGATGTATTCCCCCCATTTTCTTCATCAGAATTGCTCCAGAACGCACGCCAGAAAAATTTCAGATGAAAATATTTTGCTGGTATTAATTACCATCGTTAGCGAATTTGTCGGAAATTCGACGGAAAAGGAGATTTCCGTCAAATTTTCCTCATTACAGACGAATTTTCACCTCTGATAATGAGTCATTTTTCTGTAGTGTTTCATCAATATTTGATGCCAACCTCCTCTCTAGTAAATAGTGTGCCCAAGATGATCATTATACATCACTCGATCTAGAACATTTCTTATTTATTGTCTCTCAATGTTTATCAAAGGGTGATATCTAACATATGCCAACCATTAATATACCTCAAATGCCTTCCTAATTATCTATTGTCTCCATCTATAAGTTAAATGACCAAGTCAGAGCACCTTATGTAGCCTTACTTCTAAAATTCATCATATAAATTCACTCGGCACATCTCATAGAATGATCTTTAATAAATGTTATAAGATTTTACATTTGACTAATCTCCCTTGATACAAGGAGAATGATCGAGTTAGATCAACCAACGTAGGTTAGCCTTCAATTTTTCTCATCAATTATTGCTTGGCGTACATCAAAGAAGAATGTTATCTATCCATAATCAACATATATCCCCTCATATAAGGAGAACAATCTAGTTAGAACTACTAATAAATATCACTTAACATCTAACAATCCTTATCAGACATTGCCATTATTAGTCAAATCTAA